GATGTTAATTGGCCAACGAAAGTAAACGCGATGTGGTTCCGTTATCACATCAATAGGGAATAAGAGTATAGTGAGTGGAATCTCAAGTACACTCATTGTATGAGGTTGCCAGATAACATAGGTATGTTATGTTAATGTTAACTTCCATTGCACTTCCAACAAAATCTGTTGCAGATACAGATCTTCCCAATTTGCCATTGGTAACAATTAAATTAAATATAGTATTTATCGACTGGTTGGTGAATCCTAACACTATCGAACAGGAATATTATTTTGTTCTCTAGCTCCCAATAGCAGCAAAATCGTAGCCGTTCATGCGAACAGACTGGCCATCATTGCTCGAAAACAATATACCCATTTCACTTTCATGAATAGAACCCAAAAATTAGAGTTCATATTGATTGCTCAAGTTGAGAACTCATAAATTATCCGTCATTGAGATGTGGCCAGGCTAAGGCATTGGCATGCTCATTTTATTAGCTATTTCCTCAAGAATCGTGACTGAGTGAATCTTGAAAACGTGCCATGCCAAATGAAAAGTCAACAATTTTGCCAAATAATCACAAATTTTCTATCACTTGGCCGCCCGTTTGTTGACTTAAACCGCAAGCTGATGAAATCCTTGCATCAAAAGATGAGCCAATCTATTGACATATTTCGCCATGGGCAACAAAAAAAAAATTATAAGATTTTGCTTTGGGGCTGGCATAAATTATGAGGCGCCAAATGTCTGGCGCATTTCAAAAATGTCAGCATTGGATGCTCGCTTGCCTCCGGGGATTCGCCCACAATGTGAACAGTTATCCCAGAAAACCGAAGCCACCCGGTGCTGACCACAAATTCTAATGCAATTCGCCTGAAAAGCACCATGGGGCGTATACTTAATGTGAGAAATGTGCTAAATCAATTCCAGTTTGTTGTGACGAGCCGAACAAAAATGTAAACAAGCTTGGGTTTTAGGGAGCTTTTTAGCTTAGGCAAGAGTCATATTTAAATTAAGAGATATAACACATTTTATCGATATGCTGTTCCTTAGTCAAGCTCGATTATCTATAATAAAGGCCAAAAAAAATTTTATATTTATACATATTATCCGTTGTAGCAAATTAATTAATTACCGATATATATATTCACAGGTAAAAATTACTGCGATTCCTTAAAAAATGCCAGGCGCTAACTGAGTTTAAACCCAAATAAGGCGAATTAAATCGAAGCTTCGCTAAGATGTATGGCTTACTTTTGGAGAACCTCTCCGAGTACATCAAATCGGTGTACGGCGAGGAGAAATGGGAGGACATCAGACGACAGGCGGGCATCGATGCGCCTTCGTTCAGTGTCCATCAGGTGTACCCCGAGAATCTTCTGCAGAAACTGGCCAAGAAAGCGCAAACGGTGAGCAAAAAGCTTCGAAAAAA